CTAAGGAATGCGACAGAAAAATCCGAAAAATTGTCAGATATAAAATCCCCTTTCTAACTTCCTCTAGCCCTAAACCTCGTCCTTACCCATTCCAGTACCATCCTAGTCCCTCCCCTTCCACAGCACCCGCCTCCTTCCCTCAACCCCTCTGGTGCAACCCTACAATTTAAGCACATTATGATGCAGGGCTCATTATATTGGACTGTGCAATTTGTTATGCAGATACAGTTCAAATATTTGTGCATGAGTATGAGCGTGTATGCTAGGAAGTGCACACGTACATATGTGTATGTGTATACGTGCCCATGTGTGTGCAAGAGAAGCAATACACTTGCGCGTTTAAATTTTTGTATGGGGCACATATGCACGTATGCGGGCATGCGTATGGAGGTATGTGTCTGTATACATGTATATGGTTTTGCTTGTGTATATACAGTTATATGTATGCGTATAGTTATGTGAGTACAAGATGCATGTGTTCCCCTGTTTGTACTTCCTGGTATATGTGTATAAGTATATAGATATGTATATTTCTATGCATGTGTATATATATACATGTGCATGTGCATAAGTGCATCTATATGAAATACATGTACAGGTGTTTAATTATACGCGGGTGTACATATAAACGTAAGTGTGCGTGTTCATATGTATGGTTGTATATATGTGCATGGTAATACATACGTGTACAAGGTGTATATAAATGTGGGTTCGCATCTAGGTAGGTGTGTATACATATATGTATGCACGTGGAGGTACAAATGACGTGCGCATGTATATGAAAGTGTACGTGCATGTATATATATACTATGTATGTGTGTACGTGTCCACGTGTGTGTATGTAGATATGTGTGTGTGTACATGTGCATGGTTATGTTTGTGTATATACAGTTATATGTATGCATATAGGTATATGTAAGAGCACAAGATGTATATGATATATATATATACATATACATATATATGTGAGTATATATGTATACATATATACCCATACACGTGTGTGTGCGTCTTTGTATGAATAGGTACACACACATATATATATACATATATATAAACATTTCTGCGTCTGTGTCCGTCTATGAATATATATCTATATATGTGTGTGAGAGAGAGAATATATATAGTGTATTTATGTATATATATACATATATGTGTATATATATATATTGATAGAAGGATGAATATAGTATGTGTAGTTTATATACATATACGCATACACATGTATACTATATGTATATATATACATATATACTATATAAGTATAAATATATGTATATATGAAATATATAATATATATATTTTATATATATGTATATATACTATATATATGCGTGCGTGTGTATGTATAAATATATGTATACATACACACATAACTATGTATATATATTGTTTGCAAGATAGATATAGTATGCATTGTATATATATGATATATATATATATATACATAATATATGTATGTATACACTTAATTATAATCTGCGTATTTGCATCAAAACGAAATAACAAAAATAATTATCCCATAACCTTACCTTATTTCTTCACACTGTCCCGGTAAATTCGTCTCAGCAGAGTGACCGCGCGTGCCTTTCCTCGGGCGTCATCCAGAGAGACTGATCAGAAACGAAGGCAGTGAGGGAACTCGTGCTCCTCTCCCGGGTCTTGGAGACGAGGGAAGGCTAGCCCAGGTGGCCGTTGTTGTTCCTTGGGGTTCGATGGGACTATCGAAGGGGTCAATGCATGCTTTAGGGTTAAAAAAAAAGTCCGTTAAACTCCACAGTCGATTCCAACGATACGGTCACACAAACAAACACACACATATATATATGAATTTATGTACACACACATAAATATATATATGGAAATTCAGTTCTATATTTACGGATATGTACACTCATACATATATTACTAACCAAGGTTAACTGGTCAATCTCGCACTTTAGGCTCTTTCTGGAATTTTAGTTCTGTTACTTAGTATATATATGAGTGTGTTAAATATACATACATATATATATATATATATATATATATATATGTGTGTGTGTTTGTGTGTGCATATATTTTTTTGTATATGTTTATTGTATTTTTGTATATATGAGTGTGTATGTATATAAAGGTAAATATATATTTATATATGTGTGTGTGTGTCTGTGTATGTATATGACTTATCCATTTATTCATATATATGTAGACACACAAAGAATCACTCAGACACGTACATATACATATGTATATATATATATATACATATATATATATTATTTATGCTTGTATTCATGCACACATACGGAAACACACACACACACACACACACACATATATATATATATATATATATATATATGTATATATATATATTTATATTGACATATATAATTGTGTATGTATATACATGTGTGTATATTTATACAAATATATACTTGTATAAGTACAAATATATATCTATACATATACGTATATAAATATAAATGTATTTATATGTGATTATATATATAGAGAGAATTTATTCATATATTCATATATACATATATATACTTATATATTCATATGTTGATACACACACATATATATCTATATATATTCATATGTTGATACACACACATATATATGTATATATATTCATATGTTGATACACACACATATATGTATATATATTCATATGTTGATGCACACATATATATGTATATATATTCACATATACATATATATGCATACATATACATACGTATATACGCAAATATATACAGATGTATACATATGTACATCTGTATATATTTGCGTATATACACAAATATATACATATAAATATTTACACACACACACATATATATATATATATATTTATACACATATATATGTATATATATGCATATGTATATGAACACACATATAAACATATGTATTACATATATGCACATAATTACATTGCTGTATATTTACCTGCAAAAAATAAAACTACAAACTGCCAAAGTCTCCTATGATCTCACCTTATGTCTTCACACACTCTCCTTACGGGTAAGCTCCCCGAATCTGAGCGGCAGCTGCGACTCTTCGCTTCATGGGACGCTCGACTGGACGGGAGGCGAAAGTAAAGAAATGAAACTGACGCTCCCCTGAGTCTTGGGGATTGGGAAGTTACCCCAGGGGTTTCCATAGTTAAAGTGGGTTGCTTAGGCGAAGTAGGGGACCGATATAAGCCTTGGGGTTTAAAAAAAAAATTGTTAAACGCCCTTTTATGAACTAAAATACAAGAAAGTATTGAGACCATTCTTTATTCACTAGTTTACGGTACAGCAGTTTCGCAAGGCTTAGTTTCCCTTACTGATGTATGTGGGAAGCAGGGTTTGGTATATAGTTCCCGGCACAAACGTATAAGAAAACTGCACATTTACTTAAGTATCCTTAATATATATTTGTATATATACATATGTCTGTATGTGTGCATGTATGTGTACACACTGAAGTTTGGGAATTCTTCAGCCAATTATAATTCCGTAAATGCCATGAAATACAATAAAATCTCTACGGATTTATGCTCTACTTAACATGTTTAATGCGTAGTTCTTTAGAGAATAATAACCTTTTATGACCTGTATTTAATTCCACATGGGATTTTTGTTCAGGTAAGCACATGTCTGCTGGCAGTGAACAGGGGTGGTCAAAAGACTGCTACTACTGGTCATGGCATTCGAGAAATCTACTGCACCTACTCAGTATGACAACTGATTTGGAAGACGTTTGGCTATTTGAAAAGAGGGATTTAGCTTCAACTATGATTCTCCTATTTTAATTAAAAATAGGAAATTCATGGATACTATTTGAAAATGATAAATGGATATTTCATTTTGATTTTAAAGGCCGACACAATTTCTATCTATCTATATAGTTATATATTTGTATACATGTATATATATGTATGTATATATATGTATGTATATATATATGTATGTAAACATATTCATATATGCATATGCATATACATATATATACATATATATATAATTCACACACACACGCACAAACACACACATATACACACATATATATGTTTATATATATATATATTCATAAGTATGTATGTATATGTTTATTTTCATTATTATCATTATTATTGTTATTGACATATTTTTTCATTATCATTATCTACATTATCACGTTCCAATTATTTCCAATTATTATGATCTTCATTATTATTGTTATTATTATTTATATTTTTTTTCATTAACAGTATCAACATTATCATGTTTGATTTTGTTTTTAAATTGATGTTATCATCACAGAAATTATTTTTTTCCTTAGTAATAATAAAGTTAATGATATTGTTATGAAAGGTCACTTTTTGTACTATTAATGTTTTTATTATTGCTATTAATATGTTCATTGTTATTATTATTCTATTTCTTATATTGTTGTATTACTATTATTCTATTATTATAATATTTGTTTCATTACCTGTTATCATTATATAGCTATTATCATTATCATTATAATTATGATTATCAACATTATCATAGTTGTTGATATTATAATTTTGTTGTTATTAACCCATTCGCGCCGGGTAAAAATGAACAAAAAATGGGGGAAATGCTGTGCTCAATTTTTATAGTTTTTAATGAAATTTCTCTACACTAGATGGCTCTGCTTTACCTGATTTCATTTGGCGGGAAAACGTATTTTTACTAGTGCTATGAATATCGAGGGTTATATTTATTATAAACATTATAATTACTATAATGTTATAAACATTAGTAACAACAAAATAAGATAACGCAAAATATTTTCGTAAATTAAAGAAAAGGGTAAACAGACGAGACAGGCAGTACAAGTGCAAGTGGAGCCATCTATGCTTGTAAACAATCAAACAAGTAAACTCACAGTGGGCCTGTCACGTATACGTGACGCCCGGCGCGAATGGGTTAAGTAAATAATGATAATGATAATGTTGATGACAACGATAATCATCGAAAACGATAATGATAATGATAATGAGGTGATGATGATAATTATAATAATGATAATATCAATAATGATCATGATAATTGTGGCAGGGACTATATGATGATACGGAAAATAATAGTTGAACTAACGATAACAAAAAATGGAAATATGTAAAGTAATATCATAAAATAGATGAGACGCGGACATGAGACGCTGTTTATAAATGAGTATAAATGATATAATAACAATATAAATATATATATATATATATTCAAATGATATAGATGATAATATAATGATATCATAATATTATTATTATATATAACAGATAATAATATATAATAATAATACATATTAATATAAATATAAATAATAGGAATAAATAAATTACTCATTTTATCGAATGTTACGTTTTACTGTAAAAAGCTTCTCTCTCTCTCTTTCTCTCTCTACCCCCCCCCTCTCTCTCTCTCCCTCCCTCTTTCTCTCTCCCTCCTCTATCTCTCTCTTCTCTCCCTCTCTCTCTCTCCCTCTTTTTTTCTCTCTCTCCCTCTCTTTCTTACTCTCCCTCTTTTCTCTCTCTCTCTTCCTCTTTTTTTTCTCTCTCTCTCTTCCTCTTTTTTTTTTCTCTCTCCCTCTTTTATCTCTCTCTCTCTCCTTCTCTCTCCTCTCTCTCCTCTTTTACCTCTCTCTCTTTCTCTCTCCCTCTTTTTTTTTTTTCTCTCTCTCTCTCTGTCCCTCTTTTTTTCTCTCTCTCCCTCTTTTCTCTCTCACCCCCCTCTCTCTCTCCTTTTTTTTCTCTCTCTCCCTTTCTCCCTCTTTTCTCTCTCTCTCCTCTCTTTCTCTTTCTCCCCCCCCTCTCTCTCTCTCTCTCTTCCTCTCTTTCTCTCTCATTGTTCGCCGGATACTTAGTGAGTATAAGAATAAACATAGGATTACATAGAAATATTATACATGTTCATAACTAATAAATACATAACAATAGTAAATACGTAACACTTAATGTTAAATACATAGCAATAGTAAATACGTAACACTTAATATTAAATACATAGCAATAGTAAATACGTAACACTTAATATCAAATACATAACTTAACTAGTAAATACATAATACTCTTATGTTATGTATTTACTATTACTACATAACTACACTTACAATCAATGCAAAACTAGGATTATGTTTTAATAGTAACATAACATGACATAACATATTGTTTATAATACTAAAAATTCTTTATATTAATGTATTTATTAGTTACGGAAATGCATAATGTTTCTATGTAGTCCTATGTTTTATACGTAATGTAAGATGTAAGTGTAACAAATGAATTATGAATAATCAGATTATAAACACTTGGACAAACAAAAAGATGTTTATCTGAATTCCAAACAATATATGTATAAATATATCCTAAATATTATATAATATAATGTATCCTGAATATTATATACTTTAACTATAAATATACGTATCTATATGTATAATATATATATACATAATTTATGTATCCTGAATGTAATATAAACATAAATATGTGTCTATATGTATGTAAATATATATACATACATATATATGTATATATATACATATATATGTGTAGAATATAATATAAGATATATCATATTAGATATAATACAAGAGATATTTATCTTGAAAGTTTTTATTTGTTAAGTTCGTAAAATATTTTCAGTTTGTTAAACACTTGCAAAGAGAAAAAAACTATTAATGACCAATTATTTATATGCAAATACTTAAAAGCATAACAAAGTGCATGCATTAATTACTTTTAAATAGTCAGTCAATAT